GAAAATGAAATAGCATTGGTCGTTTAACGTGCAAGACTATATATTCAAAGGTCTGTTCTTATGGGACCGTCTTTGACCTTATGTTGTCTGTCGCCACAGCCGCCATGGCTTAACGAAAGATTGCGCTTCAATTTATTAGGGATGTTCCACTTTCCAACGATTAACTATATCGATAGTTTAATTATAAAATAGTCTTTTATTTATTTATTTAAAATGTTCACAAGTTGGAAACATTGCTCGAATTGGCTGGATGCGGAGAGCGAATGACCGCATGTGTTCGAAGGAAATAAGTTATAATGTATGTTATATATTCAGCAGTAAAAATGATGATGAAATGATGATGTAAAAAGATTTAACACCTTTTTCTCCGTGAGTAAGGAAAATAAAATTTTGTAATGAATATCATAACAAAATTACAAAATTTCTTCAACCATTTTCACCGTACACTACCACAAAATACACCCATGACTATTATTTTCGGCACTACTAAAGCTGTTAAGTTACGAAGAGCCACAACTATAGTTATATCTATATATAGTTATATCTATATATATCGCACATCATATTACTTAATATGTAAAGGTAAGAAAAAGTAATACGAATGAATAAACTAGGTTACAATTCCGTTTATTGAAGTGAAAGCTGCTCTTAAACTGTTATTGTATGGTGTGTTATTGCTTTTTAAATTCCTCATAAATATGTCGCAAGCAAATCAGTTAATAGGGCTAATCCATTTTTCAATAATCAACGACATACCAGTATTTTTTGAAGGTATACTTTCCACGTGAAAACCGACACAACGCGAGGCGAGAGGTACATAAGGTACACCTGCAGTCCACGGCGGTACTTACCGCCTCCAGCTATCGATCAATACATTCACAACACAGTACCGAACCTCGATGGCAAGTGACATACCTCCCCATACATAATGCACGCACAATATATGCGCGGCCCGACCCAACTGTAATGGCAGTATAGGGCTAGTTGGTTCTGGCATCATCACGAGTTCTTCGTTCAATGAAACTTAATTATTCTGATCTGAAAGCAAAAATGTCAGTTAAAACAACAGTTTAAATTTTATCGATTTTGTTTTTAAATTCCTGGCGTTTCTAAAACTTTACAGCGCTGATGGACATACTATTGACAGTTATAAAACATTTTTATTTAACCATTTTGAGTATTCGCGTAAAGAAAATCATTGGGCTGCAAGAGTTAGTTTTTAACACTATATCGATATTTGGGTAACGCAATCGAGGAGGCATCACTATCGTCGCCGCCCACGCGGGTCGCGCCATCCGCACCGCCCCGCGCTCGTGACAACATCAACGGGCTTCGATATCTCGAAAGCCGTTCCGATGTTCGCAACCTTTAGGCCGCGAATACCACACGTAGCGTTTTTTATGGGAGAAAGTGGAAAATGGGTACACCTGAAGCTAAGCGATTTCCATCGCCCGTGGGCTCTGCAACAACATGGACAGCGTCGCGTTGCCAAACTTTTGTGGAGTACCGGTTACGTCTATCCCCAAATCAATAGAAATACAAAAGTACAAATACTGCTACTTCAGTCTATAGCTCAGTGTCCGAGCCGGCCCTTTAATTCAATATTCACAACAGCAGCCTGAATTCAATCTCCGCTGCCAGCACTTAAAATTAACAATTTCACTATTTAGTGATTTTTGAGAAGGAGTCCCGCTTACTTCCCAACCCACTTCTGTCTATCAGTATCCGGGCGCTCCCCTTTAATTCAATATTCAAAACAGCAACCTGAAATCAATCCGACAAATCCTGCTGCCGACACAATATAAACAGTTAAATTGTTAATTTTAAGTGCCGACTTATAACGTGCACAGCCGTGAAGAAAAACATAATGAGGAAACCTGCTTATTTTGCACAATAATAACAAAAACATGTATTTCGACGACATGTGAAGTCTGCCCGTCCTCGGTTCAGCCGCGTGGTGGACCTGAGGCTTTTGCCCAGCAGTGGGACATGTATAAACTGTTACTTTACTTTAGTTTTTAGTCTTATTCAGTCTTGTCATCAGATCGTGGTACTTCTGCCGGTGCACGCAAAAACGGAGCTTTACTGCAGCAATCATCCCCGATTAACGCATCATAATCTTGCCCCATACATATCCCATCACACCCAGAACAGACAGTTGAGCGCTTACACCCGCAGCTTCATTCAAGATCCAATTAAGCCGATCCATTGACCGTCTCGCAACGGGACCGGATCGGTCACAATATCGTGATATAATATCAGATCATTAAAGCACTTTACACGGAAATGTGTGGGTGCGAAACCACCGTATCCAAACTATAATTCGAGACGAGTCGGACGGCCCGTTATATACGTCCCATGATAGCCGTGACGACGTATAATTGCTGTTGAGAGCGGTGATTTGTTGGACTAAAAGTTTTTAATTGTTAACACGTGCGTCGAATTTGTGTACACCGTTCAGCGACGGACTAATGGATCGTGGACTCTAAAATTTCGTTACAAACTTTAGGTTGAATGCTATGTGAGACGGTCGTAAATCTTTTTATCCAAAAACGATACGACTTTTCTATTAACACTTCATCACCCGCCCACTCTAATGATCCGCGCAATATTGACGTTCGTTTATAAACTGCACTATATCATTGATAATGACATTGAAAATCAAACAATATGAACACATAAAAGTCGGAAACTTGACGATAAATCAATAAGGTAACGATGTAACGGCCAATCTTAGAAGATAATTATCTTGATAAAAATTTCCATTCAGTTTTCAACTTCTGCTAAAGCCCTTTACGTATTGCGTAACGGCGACGGGACGAAACCCACACGACTCGCCTTCGAACCGCCCAAGAGAAGCGCTCGCATTTATTCAATGGAAGTACGTACTATATCCTTATTTCCATCGATACACTTTGTTTACAACTAGGGTTGACACAACAGACAAATCCTGCCGTCGTGTGTTATTAGAAACGCTATTTCAAAAAAAACGAATGCAAAAATGTCACTAATCAAATTATTGTTTTATATTATTAAAACTAAAACTGTAAAAATCTACACGGAAAATATAAATAATTGACGCGTCGTGGAGACGTCTTCGCAACTGGAACTTTTCATGATGTTCTCATGGACTCTAATATTAATATATAGATTCTATTATTGATCATAAGGGACCATCCCCAATGGAACCTTACTAGTGAAAAAAAATCTTTTAAATTGGAGCACGTAAAGGAAAAAAGTAAAAACCTATAGATATTCTACTGCTGGGCTAAGGCCTCCTCTATACAGAGGGCATCAGGGCATAGTCCATCACGCGGCCCAACAATTTGCGGAAATTTATTCCCTAAACATTTAAAACACTGCATCAACTGCATACAATGATGGTTAGAATTTTAAGTTATAGCGTCACACGCTCTCGAATTTGTTCGGGAACAACGCGTGTTGTCTTGCTTCAATAAATTTTCTTCTATTTGTTATAACATTTAAATTACATTAAAAAATATAACGTATAAAATATAATGTATACCTGATAACAAAATCTTTTCTTCACAAACCCAATTGCTAAGCAAAGGCTAAGAATAAGAATATAAAGCATAGTGAACCACCCGAACCCACATATTTTAAAACGTATTTCTTTTTATTATTCTTTTCAAAACATGCAGGTTTCCTCGCGATGTTAATGTTCACCACTGTAAGTTATGCATTGGTGCTTAAAATTGCAATCAACAACTTCAATTGGTGCCGATTACAGATTTAAGCTCAGTTTTTTTGAGTAGATGAATGAAATTAAAAACAAACGCCAGACAGCTCACATCTCTCAACATATCGATTTTTAATTCTGCTGAAAAGATCTTTATCTGTCTTTTGCTAACATATAAACATTTTGTATAACATTCTACTTTAACGATGATTTGCTATCGATATGATGTAAGCGCCATGGTTGCGTATTTATTTTATTCGTACTTATTTTATCTGTTGCTTAAATTTATTTATTAGACATACAGTAGTACCACCTCTGAAAGAAATTTCATGTTATCAAGCAGTTCCCTTGTACTAATTTTCATTTTAGATTTGTTTCCATAAAAATTATAACCGCTCACACATATAAGAATGAAAGCTTTAGATTGGAATCGCCCCAACAGCGCGATTTTTAAGGCATTTCTTGCCTCGCACAACCACTCTGTGGAACCAACTGCCGCCGGCGGTCTTTCCGAACCGTTACGACCTGGGAACCTTCAAAAAGAGAGCGTACTCTTTCTTAAAAGGCCGGCAACGCATTTGTGAGCCCTCGGGTGTTGCAGGTGTTGCATCAGGTGAGCCTCCTGCTCGTTTGCCCCTTTTCTCCATAAAAAAAAAAAAAAAAAAAAAAAATGAACATATATTACTACCTACAACGTTTATTGCATCAGCGACTCTTTCATTATTAGTCATCATTTAAATTTGAAATCGCTATCGCTTGAATATTGTTTTGCCTGTTTTATCACCTTATTAATTCGCACGTGTTAAAAGGGTATCAAGTGTACAATAAATCTTTTTATTAATAACTAGCTAATGCCCGTATGCGATGCAATACTGTGTTTTTTGTTTTTAACGTAGTCAGAAATACAGACAGGCGCACAGCTCAAAAATGCTTCATCACGTTGGTTTAATGATAAGCAAAGCATACGTTTTAAAATGACGCTCTCGCGTCTTTTAACACTAATGCAGAGATGCAGAGATAGTGTTAAAAGACGTGACTACTTTTGCACTAGACTCACTCCCTCTAGGTTATCAATCCCTCATAAGTATACGTATAAATATGTAACTATTTAATATAGTTATATTATGTAATAGGCGAATTTCAGTTAAGAATTTTGATATCACTATTACGACATTGCAACTGAGCGCCAATTTACGAAAAGTTCATCCGAGTGATCTAACATTTCGAATTACGGCGAATGTGTACATAATTCTTTTCTTCTACTTTCTACAACTTAAACTTTCTATGTTTCGCGAGTCGAATGAAAACTGTTCGAAGTTCAAACGGCAGGCGGTTCAGACGAGTGGCAGCCCTCGGGGACGAGGCGAATTCCTTTATCCGTGGTGAATGGGCCGCACTAAAGACCGCTGAACGCCGCGTCGTGTCCGACAGCGTGTATACCAACACCGGTCGTGTATCAAACGTGTGCGGAGCGGTGTGTCGCGGCGTTATTTATGCGCGACACGGCGCGGCCCGCGGCGTCGCCCGCGATGCCTGCCCCAATTCATTCTGGACGGCCGCTTGGCGTCCTTTTGCTCTCGACGAGCCGAACGCCTTTGTATAATCGGGCGGCAATTTTAAAACGTCATCCTCGCTTGAGCTCGCTTTACTTCGAGTTGCCTCATCTACCGGTTTGTAATAAATGCCATATCCAATCTATGTTACTCGAATTCATAACGTCGCATTATCCATAATAATATTATTATAAATGCGAAAGTAACTCTGTCTATCTGTCTCACTTTCACTCCAAAACTACTGAACCGATTTACAGAAATTTGGTACACAGATAGGATAGTCTAGAGTCTGAGAAAGGACATAGGCTATTTTTTAATTGGAAAAAAGTGTTGTAAAGGTTTGAAATATTTAAGGGTTCAACGCGAGCGAAGCAGCGGGCGAAAAGCTAGTTTACAATAAAAACGCATTTCATGACCATTGACGCGAAATCATAAGTTCATATTTATCAAAGTATTATAAAATTACGACGGCAATATTAAAACTTGTAAAAAGCTCTTTTCAAACCTCTAAACTTGTTCAGTGGTATACACCTATCCAGAGAAAAACCATACGCACTGCTGCCCTGCGGTCACAAATAAACATAATTTTTATTTCGTTCAAACGGAGTGTGCAACAATAAAATTAAACATTAGCATAAAAACTCGGCGGCCGCCGTACGTTTCTGCGAAAGACAATTTCGCGCTACTTCGCAACTAATTCCGAATGCGACCGCAGATCGCTGGTGTCGGGCGACAGTCGATCGACCGCATCGCCTCGCGGACGTCATAGCTTTATTAGACGCATTGTGCTTCAAATAGACGCAGTGATAGCCTAGTGGCGAGGCTCATTCGAGACCGGGATTCAAATACTAATTACTACTAAATCAAATACTAGCGACGTACAATTTGGCTGTTCGCGAAAGACCACTGTCCGCTATATGAGACAGGTTGAACGTCCGTTTCGGGACTGAGGTCATTGAAACGGCCAATTAATGGAATATTCCTGGATTTTTTTCATTGTATGCCGTTTTATTGTATGGGAGTGCATACAATAAAACGGCGAGCTTTTTCATTATATTAACACTGATTTATTTATGCAGAAATTCCAATATAATTTAGAAATGGGTCACTATGCATAGCAAGAAAATTACTTGCATTTTCGAAAAATCTGTGACCGCAACTTTATGGAACCTATTACTCAGTTTATGAAACTTAAGCAAAAACCTCATCTGATAAATATAATTATGCGTACAGCAAAATATTAGGGATTTTTCTGCGTTCGTGCGAATCTACCTGGTAGGTATCAAAATTGTGAAATACTCGTACCAGAACTTCTTCTGTTTATACATCACCTTCATGACAAAATTAATGCATCGCACGTCATATTCTTCGGAAATTTAAATTTAAAACGAATATTCACCAAAGGTTTGATAGAATTAATATAGTTCTATCAACGGAGAATCAAAATTCGCGAAATTCAAAAGCAATGAATATCAATACGTTATTATACTCCAAAGGGAAAAGCATAAACAAGAAACCTTATTTATAATTAAGGTGTTCAATGCCTTATTATTACAAAAAACTTCTTGCGATAATTGATCTCATGACGAATAGGTTACTACAGGAATAGCCGTAAGAAATAATAAATAAAAGATTTCAGGAACCTCTTTCAATGAACCGGATTCATCTCGTTACAAACAGAAGTATGTGTCCCTTAAATATTTATTATTATTATTATATAATTCTGTTGTTTGCTATATATTTTATTTTATATGATTTTTGTACGTAATGTGAAATCAGTACTGCGCCTCAACACGAGCGTTACTCTGTTGCAGAGTACTGTACCCAACCAAAAAGTGAACATAGTATAAAACAAAGTCGTCCCTCTGTCTGTCTGTCCCTATGAATACTTAGATCTTTAAAACTAAGCAACGGATCTTGATGCGGTTTTTTTACTAGATAGAGTGATTCAAGAGGAAGGTTTATATGTATAACACATTGCACCTGTACGAAGCCGGGGTGGGTCGCTAGTACTGTATAAAGCCCCAGCTCTCATGGCGTCTGGGCAGCAGACACGGAAGAGTCTGTTGCTCATAAACAAGGGGCCGATATACAGAGCTGGCGGGAATGCGAAATATTCTCCCTTCGTGAAATTTTGTGTGGATTTTAGTCGATGTAAACGTAACATAGCCATTGTAGGCATTTTCACAGAAAAGAAATAAAAAAAGAATAATTTTTCAGAAAAAACAAATAAAAAGCAAGATAAACAAAAAAAAGGAACGAACGAGTAAAGCAATAATCAAAAATATACTTTTATTATAGTGTCAGTACTATATTATACTTTTAGAATAAGTAGTGAAAACATTTTAATCATAAGTATGTAATTAATTGGTTGTGTAATGTTTACATGAATTTTTAATTTGTCAATTGACTTAAATAATTATTATTATTTTATTTCATTATTTTGAATAAATTATTAATTTGTATTTAATTCAAGGATTTCAATGGGCTTTTTCCTGAAATAAAGAATTATTATTATTTTAACAGATGGAAAAAAAATTATTCACATCTTTTTTATGAAACTAATTTAACGTTTGGAGTCAATAATTTTTTATTATTATAACATGTGTGAATAATTTTCCCCGAAAATAAAAGACTATTCGTTGTATTAAGTGGCTAATAACCACAAATACCAGTTAAACTATCCAACTCATTGATGAGTGTTTTACACGCAACCTTCACTTTACACATTTGCTTACCGTAATTCACGCTTTAATGGCATTATGAATAAAAGGGTAGCTTAATTATTTTTTGTAACTTTAAAATATGTAGAAAAAGTGCGAAAAGATTGTCGCCGCTGTGGGAATCGAAACCACGTCTTCGGCATTCGCGGCCTGACGCTCTAGCCACTGAGCTAAACGGCTGATTGCCACACCGACGAAAATCTTAACGTATTCTTCTACATTGTTTTCTTAGCATTTGAAGCAATGCTTGGCGCCGTCTATTGTTATATCCTTTCCAGCATACAAACATTTTTTGTAAGTTTAAGTCGGACTCGCGCACGAAGGGTTCCGTAAAATTATCTATAAAAACGGGAAAAAATCATCTCTGTTGTATGGGAGGCCAAATTAAATATTTTTTCTTCTGTTTTTTGAAGTTATACTTCTTTTGGCGCGTTAGGGAAAATTATGACAGTCAATTTTTGCGATGCGCGCGCACACGGTCACGAAAAACCGACACCTTGAAGTTAGCTAGACGATTTTTGCGTGATAACTGACAACTGTACTTGTGATATTTAAATTTATTTATTTATTATTTTTCAAATTAACTTTATTTAACTAGATAATGCGTTATAATAAAACTTTCAATGTATTAAATACCTTTTTCTATTGTTTGTGCCGGTTTTTCTACAAACGTAGAATAAGGCGAAAGATAAAATGTTTGAATAGATTTTTATCTGGTTTCGCCAAAGAAGTATAACTTCTAACGCGTGTACATAAGTACACACACACTTTGTTGTTATAGCGGCAACAGAAATACATAATGTGTGAAAATTTCAATTGTCTAACTATCATGGTTCATAAGATACATCAGCCTGATGACAGACGGGCAGACAGACAGACAGCGGAGTTTAAGTAATAGGGTCCCGTTTTGCCCTTTGGATACGGAACCCTAAAAAATGGGCTACGGTTACCTCACTCACCAGACGAAACGCAAAAGATTGATAATTCCACTTCACGCTGGTCTTCTGTGAAACCGTGATACTTTCCCGCACGCGCTTGCCCATTCGGCAACAGCAGAAGCCATTGCGTGGCCCTATATACTATATATTACAAAAATAAAAAACCCTTAAAATCAGCCCTTGTTTATTAATTATTTAACATACTTAATTCTCCTAAAAGTTCAAAATTAAAAAAAGTTCGCTTTTAATTTTCAAGTCTAACATCACAGTAAAGGCTCAAATAATCAGCGGGAAATCCTAATTAAAATCTGTAAAATCAAAGAAACCATCAGCTTCATGTCTTCCAAATTTTAAAAAATCTTGGAAATTTTAAAGCATTTATACTAAATAATCGTGTGTAAGCATCGATCAGTATATTTAATAAAATAATTAAAAACCTTTAACTAAGCACTTTCCAACCTATACCTGCTTACCTGCCCAATGTCTGAACTCCGACAATCGAACTAAATAATTCACAGACGTCGTGTATAATTGAGTTAAATCCATTCCATCCAAATCTGTGCCACGGAACTATTGTGTGTAATTAAAAAAAGAGTTCAGTTAAAGGATTTGTTGATTAAAAATCAACGGAACCAAATAATCAATTACGAAAGGTATCGTTTATAGGAAACGGATAAAACATCAAAGGGAGCATTCGTCTTGGTAAATATTTCCTTTTACAAATTACCCGCTGTTGACTATTATCGGGCGGGCTTAAAGTGAGTCCGATTGAAGTGATGTACGCTTCGTTTACCGATAGTTAAATAAACAGAAAATGACAAATCAGGAAAAACGTATGTTCGGCTATTGATTTGTTTTTGTTTTTTTTTTTTGCACAATAGCGTACAATGGCGGACTTAACACCATTAGGTGTTGTTTACCAGTCAACCGACAAATAAACTTCAGTCGTTTGTGCATTATGCATGAACGTAAGTCGTGAAGGCGCAGGGCCCGCTCGCTTTTAATTTTATATGGTACTATTGTATAGGTTTTATTTAATACGGTATAAGTATCTTGAAATAATAACAAAAAATTTTTTGAACATTTGTGAAGTGTCAATCCGCAGTGGTGTCGGTAAACTATGCCCTAACACTCCCTATAGAGAGAGCCATTGCCCAGCTGTAGGGCACATTTAGGCTGTTACTTTCCTTTATTAAAATTAAAGATGTATGAAATGATATTGTGCTCATCATGCTTTCACATTTTCACTGGTAGCTATCAAGGGAATCAGCATTTTAATCACTCACTCTAAGGCTAATTTCAAATCCTAACTAAAAACCTAATACCTATAAAAAACACTATAAATCTAATAATTTACAGTACCCATCAATAATTGTAAAAGCAATA